AGGAGAGATCAGTGGCTGGAAGACTGCTGATATTATAAATATATATTATATATATTATCAAAAATATATAAAACCATCTTAGTTTTGTGTGTGAGCGCATTTTCAGCACAGTATAACTTGTCTAGTATTACCGTGTCCATTAATATTCCTTTTTAGTTTCACATAGCATATAGTGGTAATGGTTGGTTTCCATTAGTCCTCGTAATTCTTTAGCTATCACAATTTATTGTCAGCAAAGACTGATCCACCATTTATTAACCTTTTTCTATTACCCAACATACCCAATAATCTCATGATTATTGTATTTGTATGTATGTTGAGTTCATCACACTCCCCCAGTCATCTTGTTTCCATCTGCTATTCCAGTCATTCCCCATTCACCTCACTTTCACTTTGCTTCCATGTATTTTCGGCTCACACCTTTCGTCCTGTCACAATACCTATTCACGGTCTGAACTCATGATATTTATTTTATTATGTCATCATTATGTACCCTGTTGTCTCGCTATTATTTCATCTATGTTTTTTTGCAGAAATAGTTTTATTAAAGATTTTCACAGCCAATATAATGTAAAAACATATAGAAGGCAGCAAAGGGTGAGCAATGCTAAGGGATGCACCATATCATTACTTAAAACCATCAGTATATGTGATAGTGGGCCCTTGGTCGGGCCATACCCCCTGTCAAACTACCCACCCACGCAGGGGGGTTCACTGACAAAATGGTCCACCTCAGAGGGGACTGTCACACCTGAGGGAGGCAAGGCCCCGGGCCCTCAACGTGAAAAGGAGGACATGGTACCATTCGGAGAGGTATAAACCCAGTAAAAAGGTCAAAATAAGTGCAATCCCTAATGCTACCAGACAAAGACAACACAAAATAAACACACAATAAGACAAGACAGACAACAAAAAGGAAGTGAGAGGAGGGGGAAAAAGAGAAAGGGAGGTAAAGGAGTACTGCGTGATCAGTGAAAACAGATCATTAAACTAAGCCATGGTCCTGAACTTGTCAGATTCCATGAACAGTAGCCAGGGCATCCATCTGGATAGAAAGGCTTCTGACGTGTCCAACCGTTCGGCAATCAGCTCCTCAGATCTCATTAAGTGGCACAGTTCTGCAGTCCACTCCCCCAAGGTAGGAATCACCTGAGAATTCCAATGCCAAGGAATCAGTGTTCTGGCAGCATTTACAAAAAATCTCAGGAGAGATTTCTTTGCTTTGGAGATGGAGCCTGAGTAGGCAGAAAGTATTGCCATCTGAGGTGTTAGATGGAAATCGCAAGCGGTCATTTTTGTAATACACGTGTGAGTGGGAGGGAAAAATCTGGTGCATCCTAACCGGAGCTCTGTACCATCTGGTCAGAAGTTTGAAATTGCGTTCCTGCACCGATGAGGACATGCAGAGGCTATGCGTAAAGCCAAAGCATTTCCGTCTATCCTCCTCGGAAAGGACCACATCCAGTTCTCGTTCCCATGCAGATAAGAAGTACGGAGGACCCTCACCGTCCATGGAGAACAGGGAGTCATAGAGGAAGGATATAAGATGTGAGGGAGGTTCACCAGTGGCATACATTCATTCAAAGGGAGTAAGAGGGAGTGCAGGGAACCAGATAAGGAAAACCCACGTAAAAATTTTTGAAGTTGAAGTTGATGGATTTCATCTATGTTTTAATTGAATTTAAATGTCTTGTATAATGTAATGATTCCTTTTTTGTCTTAGTGCATCAGTGTATGTTATCCATCTCTCTACATTGTTCTCACTTTCACTACTTGCATATGTTTCATTCACTCCAGGTCACATTGGCTCTTTCCATGGTCCTCGATGCCTCCTGTCTTTCGCTAGTGCTTGCCTCCTGTCACTCAATACACGGTTATATGTCTCCTTAGCTCCAAGGAATCCCGACCCGCCACTTTATTTTATTTTTATTTAAAAGCCATGAGCGGAACTGACATCCCTAAATAGCCATGTTAACATTGGAACATTTATATCCTGTGAGGAAAGCAAACTAAATTCATTACAGGTAAACCACATTAGCTCCTTCCTTGTCACTATACCACTTTTTGCTTCAAACTGTCCCCGGTTTTTAATATGATAATTTAACAAATACCGGCTGACATTATTTAATACAGCTCATTATTTGGCTACTTGTTTACCTAGGGGGTTGAATTACTAAAGGCAAATCGGCTGCAAGGGAATTTTCCCTTCAGCTCTTTAAAATTAAAGGGAAAGCTCTGTTGGCCTTCATCATCCAATCATATGCAATCAAAAATATTGTTTGATTTTTTTTCCACTTGCTCATGATTGAGTATTCTTTGCAAAATGAATTTTCACTTCAAGCACTAAGTAAAGGGAATATTACCCCGCAAATTGCATATTCCCTTGTAAAATGAACAGTCTATTTGCTTTTAGTAAATGAACCCCTTTGAGTCCACTTAAGTCCTCTCTACGTTGTCAAGGTATGCTTTATATTGCATTTGACAAAACTAATGTTGGTCATGCACAGAACAAATACATACTCCATTGAACGATCGATTAACCACCAATGGTGAAATTAAATCACGAGGCCATATTATCAAAATTGATCAAAAACAAGATCGGCAATACTGGTTTAAGCCCCGATTGACTCATCTTGATCTTATGTAACAATTGTTTTAATAAACCTAATCCCATAACAAATATAATAATAATAATTTGAGCTGCCATTATGTAATGATCATATAATTTTGATTATTGCAATTGGATATTCTGCCCAGACAGGTCATAGTCATTTCGATGGAATGGATCGGGTTTTACCAGAATCGATCAATGACAAAATATGTATCCTTTCCATAATTAATAGATTGGATCATATAGTCTGAGTCTGTAAATGAATCACTCATTATGGGTATTGCCACCATAAGTTTGTTTTTATCTTCTATTTCAATCACTTCTCCATATGTAAGCATACAATTAACTTTTACACATATGTGGCTGTTGCTTAAAGCACGTTCTGATATAGAGGTATATTAAATTATCGATCAATGACAAAATATGTATCCTTTCCATAATTAATAGATTGGATCATATAGTCTGAGTCTGTAAATGAATCACTCATTATGGGTATTGCCACCATAAGTTTGTTTTTATCTTCTATTTCAATCACTTCTCCATATGTAAGCATACAATTAACTTTTACACATATGTGGCTGTTGCTTAAAGCACGTTCTGATATAGAGGTATATTAAATATAGTTGCAAGGCTGCCTCAAGCATAGCAGCTTGTTTTGTTCTCTAATAGACATTA